GCCGTACCCTGAGCTAAACTCCTAAGTCCCAAAACCCTCTAACCCTCTGAGCTCAAAGCCCTGAAACCCTACACCCTAAACCCTGAAACCCTAAACCCTAAGCCTAAACCCTAAAGCCTAAACCGTGAACCCCAAAGCCTAAACCCCCAACTCTTAACCTTAAAGCTTACACCCTCAACTCTAAACCCACGAAACCCCTGGAGCCCTGTGAAGGACTCGGACACTGGGCTTGCGTGTGCTCTGAGGCGCTTTGCTATGGCGGCTCGGGAAGGCTTCCGATCGCCGGTGTACCTTCCCAGAGAACCTTTAGAGTTTAGGGTTTAGGGTTTAGGGTTTAGGGAAGCCAATACCCCTTCATGGTTTAGGGTTTAGGGCTTAGGGTTTTGGGTTAATTGAGGAATATACCTTAAATTATAGAGGCCTTGCTATTCTGATTTAAGGTATGTTCCTTCATTAAGGGGTATTGGGTTCTCTGAGTTACTGCTTAAAGGAGAGTGGGGGAGGGAATTTAGGGACTACTATAAGGCATTCGAGGGACTACTACAGGGGAATATAGGGCCTCCACAACGGATTGTAGGGACTATACGGGGTTCGAGGGACTACTGTAAGGGAATACAGGGTCTCCAAAAGGGAATATAGGGACTACCATAACCTAAACCATAAACCCTAAACCCTAAACCCTAAACCCTAAACCCTAGGGTTTATACAAGAACTCAGCACCAGTAAGGTACTGGAGCACGGTGACCAGCATGCCGAACAGCCCCTGGGCTTTCCTTATGGTTTAGGGTTTAGGGTTTAGGGTTTAGGGTTTAGGGTTTAGGGTCAAGGGTTTAGGGTCAAGTCGCCATGATGACACGAATATTCGGGGTGTTACTCGAAATATCGTCTCCATTACTACCATTAGGTGTTTGCTTAGAATGAGGAGCATAGGATTGACTACGTACCCTTTCTGACTAACCCTGCTAGGGTATCCTTCAAGTTGTAAAGAAGAGAGAGAACACCTGATTCACAAAGCATCCTTGCTAGGGTCACCAAAACGGATGGGCAAAACCCTCTTTTTTGCAGGGCTATAGGGGGTTTAGGGCTTCTGGGGTTTAGGGCTTTTTTTGTGCTAGGGTAGCCCTAAACCCTAAACCCTAAACCTCTCTTTCATATAGTAACTTAAACCTTGAGCACTTCGTGGCCCAAGGTCAAAACTTC